TTTGGGGAAAAAAAAATCCTACCTAGAAGTTATATTTTGTGGCAGAATATTAAAGACAAAAGATCTTTTAAAAAAAAGGCAGAAAAAAGATGAGAGACAGAATAGCACCTGACTGACCTGTCAGCTGCATCAAAGGAAGCCAAGAGACTGCAGAATAACACCTTCAAAAATACCAAAAAGAAGAGAAATCAAGCTAAAATTGTGTACTCAGCAAAACTGTCTTTCAAGAGAAACATTCTTCCATTGACGGGCTAAACAAAGTCGAAAGTTGGTCTTTTGAGAAGAATATCAAAATTGACAAATTTCTAGTAAGAAAAAAAGAGGCAATAAAAATAAAGAAAGGACTCATAGATACCACAGATTCAAATATTTGACAATCAAATAACAGACATTCTTTAGCACAATTAGAAGAACTATCAAAAGAAATTATATATGGCCTAAATAACTGGGAGATAGATATAACTTAACAAATAGTTACAATTTGATGAATGATCTCAAATTCATATGAAAGAATAAAAAAAAAATAGACTAAGGTAGGAGAACTTGCCCAACTAGATGTTAGGTCTTTTTCTAATACTAGTGTACAATTTCATGTTCTGTAGTAACAGATAAATCAAATGATGCCCCAGGTAATAGAGATCAGTGAGAAAAGGGCAAATCCACAATGACATTGAAACAGTCAGATATCAAAACATGAAAATTGTTACCTATGGCAAATAAAACACAAAAATGAAAAATAAAACCATTAAAGATTTAAAAAGTTGTATAAAACTATAAATTTTGAAAAAAAAATAGGTAAATATTTTATTTCCTCTGGGCAGGAAATATTAATTTAAAGAAAAACACAGGAATATAATCTTTTAGGAAAGTGTTTCCTAATTTGATAGTATTAAAAGAAGAACTCAGTGTTCATCAAAAAACACCATTAAAAATAGTTACCAGAGCCAGACGCTATGGTGCATGCCTGTAATCCCAGCAGCTCTGGAGGCTGCGGCAAGAGGATAGTCAGTTCAATGCCAGCCTCAGCAATAATGAGGCTCTAAGAAACTCAGTGAGACTTTGTCTCTAAATAAAATACAAACTAGGGCTGGTGATGTGGCTCAGTGGTGGAGTGCCTCTGAGTTCAATCCAGTACCCATCCCCTCCAAATAGTAACAAGACAAGCTACAAATAAGGAAAAGGTATTTGGAACACTAACTAACAAAGAAATATTTCTTAGATAAATATCAAAACTACCTCGAATCAATATGAAAATAAAAGTTATAAAAGCCAAATAGGTATTTTATCAAACATAAAAGACTGATAAAATATATTGGAATGGTACTCAATAGCAATAGTAAAAGCAATTAAAATCATAAGGATACCAATTTATATTCCCCATATTGACAAAAATGAGAAAGCCTATGTTGATAAGTATGTGGAGCAAAGGAAACTCATTTTACACAATGCTTCTGAGGTTACAAATTGGTGCAGCCACTGGTGCAAATTTTTTCACAAATTGGTGAAAAGAATTTGAAATAATAGCACAGAGCTGAAAGTATTCATCCTCAATATCACTCTCGAAACTTTTGCAGATGTGTCACCATGTGATTTGTATCAGAAGAATATTCACTGTGGCTTTTTAAAAAATCTGTAAAAACAACAACAAATCTTAAAAATAATTTAAATTTCCACTTAAAAGCAATAAATAACCACATAGATAGATCATAAAATAGCATATGTATGCACACCAGAAACAATTGTCTCCCTGTCTTTGAAAGGTAACTATTTTCTAAACCCTATCATTTAGTTTTCTCCTATTTTTTTAAAGTATCAGGGATGAAACCATAGAGAGTTAATTCTTTTGAGTCTGATTTCTTAAGTTGACAGTATGTTGGTGAGATCTGTAGTTGGTATATATATTTTGTTGAATGTAGCAACAGTTCTTTCATTTTCATTGAATATTTTCCCATTGCATGGATGCATTATTGTATTCCCATGTGTTCTACTGTTGATGGATATTTAGTTTCTAATTTGGGATAATTATGAATAGTCATGCTACATAGTTTTGTTCATGTTTCTTTATATACAACATTTCCATTGTACATTGATAATTCTGAGAAGACTAAATAGTTGATTATATGTTATTTTGTATTAATAAATATATCTACTAAAATAATGTAAGAAATTCAACTGAATTAACAGATAGTTAATGGTACTATCTTAATTTTACTTCCTTTGATTATTACTTGTGGTAACCACTTTTTCATATTTTAATTTTTCTGTGAATTGCTTTTGATTGTCTTTACCCATTTTTCAATTTTTATGGTACTCATTGATTTACAAAAGCTATTTATTAAAAATTATATTGGGGACTGGGGATATAGCTCAGTTGGTATATTAATCTTTGTATTATGTATTGATAGAAAAAGATACTTTTTACATTTAACTTTTTTATTGTTTATAATTTTCAATGGTCTGTTTTAAAAATTTTCTTTTTTATTATTATAAATTAAAAATATCATGACTTAAAATTTCAGAAATTCAAAACTTGAATTTCAAAGTTCAAATAGAGATAAATATCATTGTAATTCCCAATTTCAAAGTAACTGTTGTTAACATTTTGGTGCATATTCTTTGTGTCTGTATTATATATTATGTCTACATATGTGTAGATTAGTGTGTGTGTATATGTATATTTAAAATATCTTTATATTTATGCACACATATGTTTATAAGGGGATTATTTTTCTGCCTAATAGGCACCTATTTTTTTTAATCAATTAACATAGCTAACACTATCATTTAAAAATATTTAAATGATATCTCATTGTATAAATATGCCATTTCTAATTCAACAAATATTTATTGAGTCTTTATAACAGCATCATTTTTTAGGCACTAGAAACAAACAATGTCTTCAAAGGTGAAGTTTAAATGCTAATGGACCAAACATAAAATATACTAATAAGTTTTTCATATAACATAAGATAATAACAAGTAGTTCGAAGAAGAACAAGTACAAGGAAGAGGATAGAGAGTGATGGGTTGGTGAGAGGTCACAGGGTACTCAAGGAAGGGGCATCATAAGTGAACAGGAATATATTGAGTATGGGAAGTCATTGCCAATTTGTGGGCAAAATCAAATGCAAGTCCCCAGGGTAAGATTTTTGGTTTTGTCTTTGAGCAAGAAATGCTCAAAGAAATCAATCTGATGTAGGTTAACATTAAGGTCATTTCTAAGTATTCAAAATTTTAAACAAAAATTGGAGAAACTGTCATGTTAAACTACTTGCTTAATGTCTGCAGGTATTCTAACTGTTGGTCTTTTTAATTTGCAAACTCATTTTTTTTCTTGTATGTTTCTGTGACTATAATAGGAAGATGTGAGTATATATCAAAGGATGTTCATCTAGTGCCATCTTGCTCCAAAGGCCTAATTCAAATTTACTTAGAGAATTTCTCAGCAAAAGAAACAATAAGAGAGGTAAATAGGGAGCCTACATCCTGGGAACAAATCTTTACTCCTCACACTTCAGATAGAGCCCTAATATCCAGAGTATACAAAGAACTCAAAAAATTAGACAATAAGATAACAAACAACCCAATCAACAAATGGGTCAAGGACCTGAACAGACACTTCTCAGAGGAGGACATACAGTCAATCAACAAGTACATGAAAAAATTCTCACCATCTCTAGCAGTCAGAGAAATGCAAATCAAAACCACCCTAAGATACCATCTCACTCCAGTAAGATTGGCAGCCATTAGGAAGTCAAACAACAATAAGTGCTGGCGAGGATGTGGGGAAAAGGGTACACTTGTACATTGCTGGTGGGACTGCAAATTGGTGCAGCCAATTTGGAAAGCAGTATGGAGATTTCTTGGAAAGCTGGGAATGGAGCCACCATTTGACCCAGCTATTCCCCTTCTCGGTCTATTCCCTAAAGACCTAAAAAGAGCATGCTACAGGGACACTGCTACATCGATGTTCATAGCAGCACAATTCACAATAGCAAGACTGTGGAACCAATCTAGATGCCCTTCAATAGACGAATGGATAAAAAAATGTGGCATTTATACACAATGGAGTATTACTCTGCATTAAAAAATGACAAAATCATAGAATTTGCAGGGAAATGGATGGCATTAGAGCAGATTATGCTAAGTGAAGCTAGCCAATCCCTAAAAAACAAATGCCAAATGTCTTCTTTGATATAAGGAGAGTAACTAAGAACAGAGTAGGGACGAAGAGCAGGAGAAGAAGATTAACATTAAATAGGGATGAGAGGTGGGAGGGAAAGGGAGAGAGAAGGGAAATTGCATGGAAATGGATGAGACCCTCAGGGTTATGCAAAAGTACATACAAGAGGAAGTGAGGGGAAAGGGAAAAATAATACAAGGGGGAGAAATGAATGACAGTAGAGAGGGTAGAGAGAGAAGAGGGGAGGGGAGGGGAGGGGGGATAGTAGAGGATAGGAAAGGCAGCAGAACACAACAGACACTAGTATGGCAATATGTAAATCAATGGATGTGTAACTGATGTGATTTTGCAATCTGTATATGGGGTAAAAATGGGAGTTCATAACCCACTTGAATCAAAGTGTGAAATATGATATATCAAGAAATTTGTAATGTTTTGAACAACCAACAATAAAAAAATTAAAAAAAAATTTACTTAGAGAAAAAAAAAGCCTTTTTTAAAAGTGGAAAGGAAGAATGGGTAATAATGAGTGTAATGTATTCCACTATTGTCATGTATTAAAATAAATAAATAAATAAATAAATAATTTTTAAAAAGGGGAAAGGAAGAATGTCACAATAGAAAATGTTCAATTTAAGAAAGAATTTTTATAGCTAAGACAAAACTATTGACATGACATCTTTAGCTATACTTACTGGTTCTTTCCTTTAACTCTTACTTCATTCATATTTCCTTTTTATGACACTTTGACATCATGGAACATTTAATACAATAACTTATAAACAAGAATTTGATGTACAAATATTTTTCCCCTTAGGTTGCTGATGCTAAGTCTTTCCCAACACCTTTTAATGTCTTGCCTGTGAAAACAAAATGGAGTAACGTTGGCTTTCATATTCTTCTATTTGATCTTGAAAACCTTGTTAAACTTTTGCTGCCGACTCCACTCAGTGCTGCTGACCCTTCCAATTCATTCTATGGTAGTGAAATCTTGAGGAGAGCCAAGAGCACAGTAGAGAAGAAGACCCTGACAATAAAAAGAAATAAAACTGCTAGTGGTTCTCTCTCAGCAGAGGCCCAAGCCAAGCCTCTCATTGATGGCCTGATCCAAGGAAACAATGCCATCAAATTCATAGAAGAAAATGATGATAATAAAAGGCAGAAGAAAACAAAGAGCTCCAAGAAGAAGCATACCAAAGCATCAAGAAAAGTTGATGCCAACCTCACAATAGACACTGCTAAATTGTTTCTGTCCTGCCTTTTGCCATGGGGAGTGGATAAAGAACTAGATAATCTCTGCATTAATCATCTCAATATTTTAAAGCTTCAGGGTCCTGTTTCCTTAGGGCTTGCTTCAAATGAAGACCACTTCTCATTGATGCTGCCAGGTTGGGATTTATGCAATGCTGAAATGAAGAAAGAGTACTCGAGAGTAAATTTGTTTTCCAGAAAAGTTTTGGACTTGTCAAATAAATACACAGCCACTCTTCCAAATCATGTTGGAACACCAAGAGGACTGGAAAATAATTGTGATTCTTTGGAGGAGTCAAATACTATAGTTTATTTATTGAGCAGACTCTTTTTAGTTAATAAGTTAGTCAACATGCCTTCAGAACTGGCCTGTGATTTTGACAGGTAAGACATGCCTAAAGATTTTGACTATTCTAATTTGGGATATTTGAAAAAATATTATTTGCAATATTCAGCTCTCTAGTGTTTCTTTCTTCCTAATGATGGTAGTAGATATGCAAAAACTTATTTGGTTTAAAACACAATTAAGGAAATCTTATTAATCCTTTGGGATTGGAGGATAATTTGCCAATACATGTATATATTTTAAAATTACTTCATTCAACAAATATCCATTGTACTCAAAATATGTGTGAGGAAAGTCATAATGTTAAATGTTTAAGGAGTAGGTAGGTAGGTGAGTGTAGATATATATATATATATATATATTTTTTTTTTTCAAATCAATTATACACGATATGAATTAAGTATGAGCAAACCATATGTAAATAAATGCTTATGAAGATATATATTATCAGGAATAGAAAAATTTGAAAATTTTATATATCAAAATCATATCATTAAATTTATGTTTCAGTATGATAAAATAGAAGAGGTTCTCCACTAATTCATTATAGAAAGTACAATTTAGTAACAACATAGCTATTGTTTCTTGAGTGTTGAACATTTGCAAGTCATTATGTAACCCCTTTACATACATTGTTTCATTTACTGTGCACATCAAAGCTGGGCTGTTCATAGTTTTGTTTTGCGCATTGTAGGGATAGGGATAATGAGGCTCATAGAAAGTGTTGAGCCCAAAGTTAATTCAGCTTCTGAGAGGTAGGACAGGCTAAGCACCAGAGCAGTCTTCCAGCTTCTCCAGTACTAACTGCATCTCTGCATCTCTGTGTTTTCCTTTTCAGTGTAGTTTTCACAGTCTGTTGTTATAGAACTGAGTTTAGTTCACCAAGTGCTTATTTATTAAACTGTATTCTTAGCACTGGACTAGAGAAAAAATTTAAAATGAACTTATGATTTGGGTAGGGACTCATTCAAATGATAAACATGTTATACATGAAACAAAGAAAACACTGAAATAGAGGAAAGGCTTAAGGAAAAACATTGCTTATGTGAATAAGCAGGTCATGTGGTTGGAGTAGAGAGAGCAGAGTGGGATGAATCCATCAGAAGGCTTTTCTAGAGGAGATGCTGTTTGCATTGCCCGTGACATGGTAAATTTTCCATGACGTTTCTATTCTTTGACAAGAGATCAGTTCAACATGTATCTGCAAGGCACAGTGTAATAGAGGCCTTGCCCTCAGTGAACCCATAGACTGGTGAAAGTTTAAATGAATTCTATCAGATTCACCATTATGCTTTTTTCCATTGTAATGTTTCCATGTTACAAGGCTTTTAATTTTCAGTTTGTTGGTTCTAATAATAGAAAACAAAAGATTGGTAAAATTGTGATTCATATATGCAATTTTCTCTATTTACTGTGTTCATTTTAAATGCCTAAATGTTTTTTTAATTATTATTTTGAATAGTCTTTTTTTTTTCTTAACTTTTCTGTTATTAAGATTATATAACACCAAACTATGGTGGAAAAAAAAAATGCAATGGCCCTGGAATCTGAAAACCTAGAACTGAATGCTGATTTTCTTGTCATACCAGCTGTGTAACTTTGGGCTGGTCACTTAGACTTTTGGGGCTTTTTTTCCCCTCATTTGCAAAATGAATTGGGTAGAAAGATTATTCCTAAGATTTCTTCAAATTCTTAAAAACTTGAGCTGCAAACAATTTTGTCTGCTTATTATAGTTTCACAGAGCAGATGAAAGAGTTGGTTACTATCTTCACTCTGAGTTTGTTCATGAAATAGAGGATAGGATGGAGAGGATGTATTTCATGTCCTGCAGGAGAATTTATGGGCTTTCAGCATGCCTTTCATTAAATGGCCTTTAAATTGTTGCCAGATATTAGTTGATTCCTTAAAGCCTTCTCCTAGACCTCTGGATATAGTTCTCTGATAGAGAACTTACCTAGCAGGCATGAGGCCCTGCATTCCATCACCCACCCCTGCAAAAAAAAAAAAAAAAAAAAAAAAAAAAATTTCCACCAAAAATAAACCTTATAGAATGGAGTATCAGAATTAATTATGAACTGTTTCTCTAAGTCAGTCACCCCAAATTTGATCAGCTATTGGAGTGTTGGAGCCTGAACAATTTTTTTTTTTTAGAAATTACAAAAATATATATTGAATTTGTTATATCAAATCCTTCAACAATCCTTTCAACAAATTTTGCCACTTCTCTAACATTTTATTGTGGTTGTGAAGTTGAGAAATCATTGTACACTTAACAAAGGGTACATGATTTAAATAAATTTAAGGAAATAGCTCATTATGAGAACATCCCTGATAGTATCTAAAGATCCCCATAATTTAAACTCATAATTTAAAGTCTGCCGGTAACTGGGGAGGATTTTTTGACAGATGTCAACATATAGGATTCAAATGTTTGTTGCAATAGCCAGAAGTCATTTCCTTAAGTAGCAAGGTTCGTCTTATAAAAGTAGGTCACAAATAATCCTGGTTAACTAAGATTTGCAATTCAATTGGGATTAATATTTTAGTCAGAAATGAGAATCACAAAAGAGATTAATATGGAAGATATTCCTAAAAATAATCTGTGTTCAGTTCCCAAATTTGCTAATGTGTTCATGTACTCACATTTTCAATTTATTTTCTCAAATTATTTTTCATAGCCTTTCAATAATATTCTGTATATACTTTTTTTTTCCCCAACAGATTCTTCAAAACAGAATCTATACATAATAAGGTGAAAAGTCCTGGGAATGATATTTTGCATATTTCAAGCTTCTATGGTTACTTAAGAAATGGTAAGGAAGTTACAGGCATGGATATGATCAGATTTATTTTTTTCCTATGAAATAATATTTTGTAACTAAATGGCATCGGTAAAATAAGTAACATTGCATAAAATATAGATTCCACAAATGATCTTTGAAATACCTAAAAGTTTGAAACTTTCAGCAAAGAAAATTTTTGGATATTAAATTAAGGTCACATGTGATTTATTGGAAGGTTTATTTTGCATCGATATCTTTACTACTGAATGATTATTAGAGAATTTTATTGCTATTTCAGAAGGTCATCTTCTTCTGTGTAAAACTCTTATATGCTTCTGAGTAACAATCTCAGTGTTTAGATTTTCTTTTGGTGCCAAATGATGCTCCTTTATATCAATAAATGGTAGTTGTCACTCCAGTTGTTCAGGCCAAGAACTTTGATATCATTTTTACTTTCCCTGTCTCTCATATCCCACATCCACAATTTTAGTCATCATGTTGGTTCCACCTTCTGAATACATCCCAGAATCCTGCTGCTTCTCACCACCTCCATGACCACTCACTCCACTGGTGTGAGCCTTCATCCTTCTTGCCTGGATGACCTTAGCAGATTCCCCATCACCTCTCTGATCCTATTCTTTGCTCATACCCTCCATTCCCAATTAAGCAGCCATTTCGATCTAACTCAGAATCTCCTTTCTCTACATACAGCCTTCCAGTGACCTTTTTAAATAAAAATCACAGTCCTTCCCAGAGCTCACAAGGCCATAAGGCCCCATTTGACCTGGCCACTGTATCCACACCATCACATACTCATCACCTAGTTAAACTCAGTTACACCTACTCTCACCTTTTTATTCTTAAACCAAATACAACAAGCAGTACCTTTTGTGTTGGCTGTACCTTTGCACAGAATGTTCTTTATCCAGATATCTGTATGGATCAACCTACCCTCCCTCCACTCACCTTGACCTTTAAGTCTTCTCAGATGCCACTTAGTCAACAAAGGTGCCAACTCAGTGCTTCCTTAGCCCTCCCTACCTCTTTTTTTCTTGTACTATTTAAAACCTTTTCACTGTCACTTTTTCTATTTGTCATCTGCTGCCTGCTATTGAAATGTAAGTTTGATGGGGGTTACACTTTTAGGATAGTTTTATTCACTGTTATGTCCCCAGTTCCTCAAACAATGAGGAGGAGAATTTAAACAAGCACTTTTTGAATTAGTGGATGAATAAAACCAGTGACTGAATAAAATTAAGGGATAAGTAGTAAATAAAACAATGGCTTGGGAAATAAATGAAATAAATGACTGAGGTTCAAGATCCAACTCTTTCGCTTACTACTTACTCCTTTAAAAACTTTATTTACTACATTTTGAAAGTGACAATAAGTTTTCAGACTTGATATGCATGTTCTTTCTAAAGTTGTGTAGTGCCTGACCTGTTTAATGGATTTACTTGAACATTGGTGCACAGAGGCCCTCACAAAACTGTTAGAAAAACTTCTCAAGGTTTTTTCAAGTATGAGTGGCTTAGTGTATTCTAAAAATTATACTGATGGATTTAGATATATTATCTCATTTAATATATGAAGAACTTTACAAAGTAGAAAAAACTCTATTTTTTACCTTCAGAAAAATTGGGGCTCATAGAAGTTAGATGATTCATTCATAATCAAAATTCCAATCCAAATCTGATTCCTACCCTTTCTTTTTCTTTCCATTCTGTCAGGTCATTTCTGACATTTATGATTGTAAATAGTGTTCCCTCTATGTGGCCCTTATCTGGGCTGCTGGCTGTCTTCTTAGATAGTTGCTCTTGTTAGAGTTAGTTATTTGATATTCATTTTTTATAATATGGGAAATGGTATTAGAATTTAAGGTTTAACATACATGTTTCTGCAAAGACAGGGAATTGCTAACTAGAGCCAAGGCATTCCCTCTTCTCCTCTGACTTCCCACCCAAAGCAGCTTAAGCAACCAGTATTACTACTGAATAATATCTCTAATATTTAGGGTGGCATTTATACCATTTAAAATTCAGTTAAATACTGAAAACACAAGATTGTTTTCTTTTTAATAATAGTTGGAAAGTAAAAGGATTTACTCCATGTTGTTAATTTTATAAAGCCAGATTCTGAAGAATAAATTAATACTCTGAGGCACTCATTCTAAAGGGTTGACAAGAACCAATACTCATTTCTGTCAGCAGAAACAGTGACTGGGTTATATTGGTAAGCCTGGGATGTTTTCTTTTCATCTTTCCCTCTGAAGTTACAATTAATTCTTTAACTCACTGACGTTGCCAAGAAAAGTTGGCTCTCATTTCTATCTCATATTAAAATTTTAACATCACATTAAAGTGCACTGTGAAGTACCCATGATGCCAGTAAGTAGTTACAGTTGAGACCAATACTTAGCTTTGATGGTTGAGTCACAAGGTCAACAAAATGAGAGAGGGAGAAAGGAAAGAGATCAAAAGAAGATTTTTTCTGTTCCCTTCTGTGCTCTGGAATAAATGGAAAATATGACTTCAAAATCATAAATCTCTATAATATATGTTGTTTGGTCATTTCAAATTCATATCATATGCTCCTACAGAAAAAAAATAATAGTCAAAATTTCATATGTATTTCTTTTTTATTCTAATTTTTATGTTCCAAGTATTATATCCAATACTTTCTATCACATTTTCTTCGACTACTAATATGATAAAATATATATTAAAATATATAAAATATCATTCATATTACTATATAGAATGATGATTCAATCAAAGGTATATTATAACAATGTTAATTTAAATATTTGCTATCAGAATGTCAAACTGTATGAGAACATTAATTTAAATAAACAGAGTAGCAATTTGCCCACTGGGGAAAGCCATCATCTTTTTCCCCCATCTTATTCCTAGGATTTGACACTGACATAATATACTTTAGCTATCAGAAAGCCTTAATTCATTGATTTTTTTCCTTTGGGTGATTATATGTACATTTTCAATTAATGAAAAGGTACTTATTAAGTGCTTTTTTGTGTAGGGAACTTCTGGGCACTCCGTGGATCAATTTAAATAGACCAAGCCCTACTTCACTCTTAAAATTTCACATGGAACATTAAGGCAGAGATAGAAAGGACATTTAAAAGGGCAAACTTAAAAGAAACAATACATAACAAAATGAGTCAAATTGAAGCATTAGTGCTTTACCTATTGATCAGAGTGGAGTTGCTGGGTAAGGACAAATCAAAGGAAGTCTTTTATTTGATTTTACATATTATAGATACTGATTCATAGCAGGATTGAATTTCAGAAACTATTTGTATGAGGAAGGAATTGCAAAATTTGGTGATCTGTCTTAGGTTGGCAAAGAGGAGCAAAGATGAATTTAAGTTGTAAAAATGAATATGATTTGATCTGAATTTGTGTTAGTATTATTGGTAGAAATATGTCTAAAAGTACGTACATATACGCATGTGTGTATACACTTACTTATATGTATTTAAAATTCTTATATATACATACATATGTAAATTCTTATAGGTATATATATAAATATACATATGTGTGTGTGTGTGTTTACATGAACGTATATTTATTTCTTAACTCTGGCTATACGTAAAAATCATCTGAGATATTGTTACAAAGTATTACTGCCTGCCACACCTCCACCCCTGGACCTTCTAAATCAGAATTTCTGCAAGATTGAATCTGTGCATTGATGTTTGCACAAACAAGTTACCCAGGTTGTTCCATTGTGCATCCAGGGATAAGGTCGGTGTGTTACATCATTTTTAACACTCTCAGGGTATTAATGTGTTCTACATATTTCTAGGTAAGAATGAATCTCATACACCTGACGCTGACCTTCCGCTTTTGAAGCTAATCTCATGTTGGCGAGACCAGTCTGTGCAGGTATGATATAATCCTTGTTCTTGAAATTATTGGAAGAGTTTATTTCTGCTGCAAGTAATTGGTACTTCCTTTACCTGAGAGTAAAAGTAGGTAGTTACTCATGTCCTCTCTGGACTTGCATTTTAACATGCCTAATGTAGAAACAGAGATGAGAAAAAAGAAAAATCAAAATCAAATATGCAAGGGTACACCAAGGAAAAGACATGAATAAACTGGGGTGAAGGGTGGGGCTTTATGCTATCATATGTAACTACTTGCCTGACGGGTTTTAGTTTGAGGCAGAGTTGTCTGTTGCTTGATTTCAAAATGTGCCATGACATTATGGTGCTTTTCTTGAAAATTTGTTCATATGAATTTAGAAACCATTTTTCTGTCCTTTGAGTACCTAATCTGAGCTGACAGAGAGCTATTTTTATTCAATGTCCAATTTAAACCCTTCTCCCTCTTTTAATGCTTCTTTGGGTCCTAAAAGCAAACTTACTTTTAGCTTTGCACATTGTACAATAAATATCTGTGCATTGATTAGATGAATTTTTGTTGGAACTTAATTCCTCTTCAAGAACTTGGCAAATATCAAGTTTGCAAGAGGGGGGAAGCAGTAATTCTGATTACAAATGGCTATTCTTGGTTATAGGGAAACAAAGTTTAGTCAAAGCAAACTTTAGGGGTTTGATACTACTGTAACACCAAATATGCACAGCTGTAATGACAATGAAAAATCACATTTCCACATGATTTACCACCATCCTAATATCATCCCTCATCATTTTTCTGCCCCTATTTTTATCCTTATATAGACACATTGGCCTTCATTTCTAAAAAAACAAAGTTATTTCCTCAGTATCTTAATGTAATCTTGTGATGGAATTCATATTTCTCCATCTTTCAACCCCTGATCTTCACTCAAAATCTGCCTTGTTAAACAAGTTTGTCCCTGACTACTCCAACTGATGTTGCTACCAGGCCTCCCCTCATTTCACACCTCCAGTAGCCATCATGTTACCCAACCTTATACTTTTCATTGTGGTTGCTTTTAAGGGAAATGATATCATTTGATTTTTTTGTTTGTTTGTTTGCTTATTTCCTATCTCCTCACTGTTTTATCAACTTTCTAAAAGCAGGGACCTTGTTTATCTCATTCATCCCCTCTCACCAATGGCCAGAAAAGCAGTAATGACAGTAGCCAGTCAATAAATATTCAATGGATGCATGAATAGCTATGCAAATATTTCCTGTAATGATCAAAATTAACACTAGTACATGCTCACATTTATCAGCATTTTAACAGTCACTCTAAAGAGTCTGTTTATTAAAAGGGAGATTTTCCCCCTGCCCCAGTAGTCAAAGAATCTTTCAATGGGGGAAATTCCTTAAATAAAAGGATTCTATAGAATATTTATCCTGAATCTAAAGATCTTTTATAGCTAGCTGTTCATTCAGATTTCACTACACTTTGGTATAGTTTGGTGTGTTTGGGCTGATGGACCTTTAAGTTTCTATGTTCAGCAACCTTAGATGAAATCTTGAAATAGGGCAGATGTTTTCAGAGTATTTATCATTTCCCGCCCAGGAACGCTAAGCCTTACAGTCCTGTCATCTCTGTCAGTTACCTAATGCAGGAGTCAGGAAGATAGATTTAGTTTGTTGATTTTTTTCATTTTCATCTTTTTCATTTGTAAAGTGGGAAGGAAAATTTCTTGGCTAACCAGAAACAACATGGTTGTTTGCAAGTAGTTGTTTAAATGCTTCAGCACCCAGTGCTAAGATTCTTAATAACACTGTTTATTTAAGCAGTTAATTGAATCATTGAATCCCAAATTTATTTATTTTATTTTTATTCTTTTGCATTTTGGGACCACCAGGGAGTAATGAAATAACTTTTATTAAACAGCAAAATATGAATTTAGAAATTGAGTATTTGCCTTTAAGGGAGAAGAATGAGTTAATTTTTCAGATGAATGAGTCAATCCAGAGGTTACTCTCTTTTCTCATACATCAGAGAGTCAATATAAAAATAATTCCTGAAAGAGAAACAGGAAAGTTTGGGGATTTCTATTTGCATTTCTGGCACTTTAGTAAAGTGCTTTGGATTTTTTTATTCCAACACCAATGGGTACAAATACTGGCACGTGGACCTTCAGGGAGAAGTGTTGCTTCTCTGGGAGATACTGCAAAGACATGAAAGGCCAACAAGAAGTGCAGAGTTGTTGAAAAGCTTTTATCTCAGACAATCTGGACATCATAACAGCAAGCAGCATACAGGGATTCTTATGAATGTAATGATGCTCAATGCTGTTTTTTAATACTTTGATATTCCAAGGTGTTAGTGAGATACAATCAAAAAATTTTATCTTATCTGTGGAATAGTAACATTCATAATAATAAGTATGTGGCCCAAATCATGGCTGACTCTAGTCATGGATTTGTAAACTTTACTTTGATTTCTGTACATCTCCTTGTAAAAGTATAGTACTTTGCATACCTACCTTATCAGAGAAATTTATTTCTATGAATTTGGAAGATAGCTTTATAGGCATAGTGCTGCATTTTAGGCTAACATTAAAAAATCACAAAGTTATATAAAATCTGTCTAAAAATTTATATTTTGTTGGAGAAAATTCTGCTGCTATTGACACTCAACAAAATTTACCTACTATTTTTATGTATTAGATGGATGCAAGCATTGATAGCTGAAAATTGTCAATAAATTATACTTTTCAGACTTTTTATATGCATAATAACTGAGGCTATAACTTGATTCTATAAGTTATAAGATATTATATCTGATAGACTACATTGAAATAGATTACATTTTATATCACAGTTGTGAACACTGCTCAGAGAGGTGAGAATTTTCCCAGTATGGACATATGGCCAACTTGTCCATTCTAAGGGCTGTATTATGTTCTGGACACGTTGTGATCTACGGGTTCCAGACGGTGTTCTGTTTTGAGAAGCTGTCATCCTGAGCCCTCTCAGTAAGTAAGGACATGAATTTTCAGAGGAGTTTGACTTGCCAAAGGTTGCATATGTAGTAACTGTCACAACTGGATCAGAAACTGAAGTCTTCTTTTTTTGATCCAGTGTTCTTTCCATCACATCATCCACATCTTGGAATTAGTACTATCAAATAACATGAGTGAAAAGATAACTATTTCATATATGAAATATTTAGTTATATAAAATTACTCATCATTAATAATTAAGAAAATATGCCCATCTTATGATATACGTAAATCAGCATAGTTTGCCAATGTTGTAGTATACATTAGTAAACACCTTATAAATAACACATTATTATAAGTTTCATCACACGGTGAATTTTAATAAGCATGATTCACAAGAATTGTGATATGTATAATTATACACTACATTCATAATATATAATAAATTTTACAGTGCTGAATATTACATCACAGACATTCATGAGTAAGCATTACTTACTTGTATCCTGATAGGCTATACTACATGTTAGTATACATGGTATACAATAGCAAAATCATTACCACTCATTAGCCTGTTTTCTTTCCCTAATCAAGCATTTAAGTGCAAGATGTACAAGAACAGGCAAAGAATCAGTAATCTAATACTCTTGGAAAGAAGCTTCCTTATTTAAAAGTCAGGTGCCCAGTTCCTTCTGCCCCAGTAGTTCAGTGAGCATCTGCCATAGCATGAGCTCCCTGGGAGGCCGTGGACTTTAAAGATAGCATATGTCACCATAATTTATAATGAGACTAAATAATGTCCAGAGAATGCATGTTCTGTTTTTGGCTATTACATCTCCAGATCACTACTCTCAGATGGTGTTATCTAAATCCCTAGCTACACACATCCTGCAGGCAGACTGGGAATAATGGAGAGGGCAACAGTAGCAATTGTGGAATATGGGCCAACTTGGCAAAGGGCAGGCTTCTGAGGGAAAACAGAGCAGGCATTGAGATGTGGCTACATGAAAGACTTCACTACAGTCAGAGAAGGTTAATGGGAAGGTGTCCAAAGTCCACCTAGATCAGTGGTGTCCTTCCTTTTCTCTCCTTGATTCAGATCCTGGCTTTTCTTGGTCACTACCTAACTCCTGGTCTTTGCCACATTGCTTGCCAGGAAGAAGTCTGAGTAAACAGTCACTAGTGTTGCATTGACAAGAAAGGGTACAGAAACTTGGGTGGCAACATACTGTAAAACAGAATCAAGGATCAGAGGCCTGTTTACCAGGTCTCTATAACCTTGGACTGTCATTTACTGAGTTCTTCATTTTAAAATGAAGATATTTGGGCATAATGCTCTGTGTTTGATCCTTAGCACTGGAAAGAAGGAAAGAAGGAAGGAAGGGAGGAAGGGAGGGAGGGAGGGAAAAAAGAAGGAAGGAAGGGAGGGAGGGAGGGAGGGAGGGAGGGAGGAAAAAAGGAAGGAAGGAAGGAAGGGAGGGAGGGAGGGAGGAAAAAAGGAAGGAAGGAAGGAAGGAATTAGACTAGATGCTCTGTGATAAACATCTCCCTGCCCCCACCCAGCCACAGCTCCTTGAGTAGGTAAGCACAACAACTGGAAGGAAAGGCCTTGCAGTGTTTTAATCTGTGTAAAACTACATATGCATTCATTCAGCTGAGTGAGATTTATTATTAAAGTCCTTTCTTTAACCTTCTCTATTAAACAGTTTAAATCCAGTGTGTTAGCTAACTGGTGCTTTGGAACTGAACATAATTTGAAGAGCTAACCTTGTCTTTAAATGCAATATGATACATTAATTTTCTGTAACTTCTAATGAAACTTAAAATAGCTTAGTTAGATCAAAGAATTGAAAACTCCTTTCAAGTATCCATTTAGAATCTTGGATTTGCAGAACAGCTTTTACTCCCCATATTTTAGCTCCTTTAGATGCTACTTCTACCAGAACGTAACAGTATTATTTATAGAAATTCAATTAAATCAAAATTCTGGGCTTTTTCTTCTTTTTTTTTTTTAACAAGACTACCAAGTATTTGTAATAAAACTATTAAAAATAATTCACTAAAACAACAACAGTTACAACAAAAACCTTTCTAGGTAACTGAAGCAATACAAGCTGTTCTCTTGGCTGAAGTGCAACAGCACATGAAAAGTTTGAGAAAGACGCCAATTGACAGTCAACCAGTGTCCACAGCAGAGAATGGTAACTGTGAGATGATGCAGATCCCAATGAAGAAGGAGTGGGCTGAGGAACTAGAATTACAGTGTATTAGAAACACTTCAGCTCCGCAAAGTAAGTAAAAAATTTGCCGGATTACTCTTTCAATAGAATTTTTGTACTAAAAGAGAATGTAACTTTATAATATATACTGTTGAAAAATAAGTTCATCTCATTTCTGCAAGATCCAAGCCAAGTGCCTTGTTTCTATCTTATCTGCTATCAATTTCCCCTGATTAAGTGTCAGATTTTTAAAGAATTTCTAGATTCTACAAAAAAATAAATATTTTTCTAGAAGTAAATTGTACATTATTTGTAACAATGTTTTGAAGTTGAGGGATTAAAAATGAAGACAGAATTAACCACAATAGCCTAAAAGGATATATATCACACCTATATCCAAATAATAATGGGTCCTAAATGTTTTTGTTTTGTTCCTTGATAATAGTCATTTGCTGATTTTTCTTTTCTAGGAAGAAGAAATATTGTATAGAAAATGAAACCAGTTTTACAGTTGGACCATTTGATTTTTATAATTAACTTTTTCATTATAGCTTCATAATAAAAATAATAATGTTTATGGTTTATGGCTAGCAGATCAATCCAAATTAATATAATACAGTGTTAACTGTTTTTTAAATCCCAATTACCATGACTTTTTAAAAAAGCAACTAAAACACAAAAAATTAACTACAAACTTTATTAGTAAGCTTTTGATGAATAGTTAATTTGTAATGTGATTGAGTGTTTTGGACAGGAAAACATATTATAAACATATATATTCAAGATTGTTAAAATTGTCAGATGTTTCTTCAATCTCTCAAAAGAGATTTTATTTTTATTTATTTGAGACTCAGAAATTTGTTATATTTCTAATGTTAAATCTTAGAACCGGTATCATTCTTGGAAATACAATTATTTATACTTGTTATTTTATAAAATTACTTATGGGAGAGTGTTATGTGGTGAGAGATAAAAAGGCATATTCAGAATAGGCCAAAGAGTAAAAAAATAAAAATAAAACTAGAATATTTCTAGATGCCAGAAAGGCCCTGATGATGGAAAATTCAGTAAATACTTTGACAAAGCTAGATGGCTATTTCAACTTGTTGATTTGTTGTTTGTTTTTAGTTATTTGGTAATATCTCTATGAAGAACTCGTTTTTTGTATCGCATGACTGCAGTTATATTACACCTTTTAAGTAAGAAGTATAAAAATTCCTTTTTACTTAAATTTCAGTGACTACATTGAGCTCTTGACTCATACAGAGAGCCACCCTTGGTGCCATTGGTAGGTTTCTTCCAAGTCCCCAAAGCCTGTATCATTGATCATGTGAAGTAGCTTTTATGAGCATTATCTTTAATCTTCAGGGTTTACCTTATTCTTTGCCCATTTTTTTTTTCTGGGCAAGAAGCTCTTGGTAGACTATCAAAGTGAAACTTGAGATAAGTTTTGCTGTCACATGCCTTACCCATATTTGTACTTCCACCAGATTGGACCCAGTTCTAACCCCAGATCATTCTCAAACGTAATAACTGTTCTTGACACAATGGAATCTCATCTAACTGTGACTGAAGACATTTGGACTTTAAGCTTGGCATTAACTGTCCTGATCAGTTATGAAAAGATTTTTTCTTTGCTTATGAAAAAAATAATAATTGGGGTTAACTTCTGATAAGAATTGGAACACTGAAGTATTAAACTAATTTATATGTTGGTGGATGAGTTTTAGAATATTTTATTAAACAAATAACACATTCACAAAATGTGGAACATGTATTTTCTCAAGGAATATTACTTGCACGAAAATACTAACTACTTTGCAATTAAATATGAAATACATCATAGGCATTAAAGAGGAAACTATCCAAACAATATTATATTAAATTGCCCTTTTCCCCTTTGGGAAAAGATGTGTTTTTAAATGATTCAAAAGAACTTAGTAAAATGATAGTAAAAGATCTTAGAATTCCAATATAGTGATATGTACTATATTATATGATGGTATTTGGAAGACAAAAAAAAACTGCTTTATTTCAAATGTTCAGAGAAAAAGTTAAAAAGATGGTGGAGGGGCTATTGGTGTGATGATCCTCAAATCTAACAGGCAAATTTACTTAGCCCAAGTATCACTGTAACATATATTATTTTACAAGTATTCTTATGATAAATGGTATATTTTAATTTTATAAGGTTCTTGATCATTTGTCTCTTCTGAGCTCTCTCCACCTCCTGCTTTTTTCCTGATTTTTTTTCTTGTTTTTTTGGCAATACATCTTTTTTGTGGATCAGTTGTAAAGTAAAAGATGATAGTTTTGTTTTGCATGGGTAATCATAAATTTGTATTATGATAGAATGAAGTATATTTTGTTTATTAGCTATATGTAATATAGTAATAATAAATCATGGAAAAATAATAATAATTATTGAGGTTTTGTTTTTTGTCTTTTGATTTTGTTTTTGTTTTTTTGGTACCAGGGATTGAACCCAATGGCACTTAAACACTAAGCCACATCTCCAGCCATTTTTATGTTTTATTTTGAGACAGAGTCTCATTAAGTAGCTTAGCGCCTCCCTAAGTTGATGAAGCTGGTTTTGAACTCACAGTCCTCGTGCCTCAGCCTCCCCAGCCATTGGGATTCTAGGCATATGCCACTGAACTCAGCAATTATTGAGTTCCTTCTTTTTTTTTTTTTTTTTTTTTTTGGAGGGGGGTTCCAGAGATTGAACTCATGGGCAATCAACCACTGACCCACATCCCCAGTCCTATTTTGTATTTTATTTAGAGACAGGGTATTACTGAGTTGCTTAGCACCTTGCTTTTGCTGAGGCTGGCTTTGAACTCACAATCCTCCTGTTTTAGCCTCCCGAGCCACTGGAGTTACAGGCGTTCACCACTGCATCCAGCCATTATTGAACTCTTAATGCATTCCAACACTATGCAAAGTAAATTTTGAATGTTTTCTCACTTTTTTCTTAAATTCTCATATAATCCACAGGAAGCCTAAGACTATACTTCCAACAGTTGAATCCTCTGTGCAGATAACTTCACCACTCTTTAAATGTCCATGTTTATGGACATGAAGTTTCCAAGTAAAACTGAAAAGAACCATTCTTTGAGAAAGATAGATTTCCCTTCTGCTGCGTAGGTTGGGCCTAAGAAACTACCTCTTGAATTTTTAAATTATACACACACACACACACACACACATATTATATACCTATATATACACATATGTACCCACATATATATTTATCTACATATATTTCTCATTCATATTAAATACAGTTTTAAAATTATGCCATAACCATACCAGCTACTTTGAATGTCACCAGAGGTATACACCTTGTACTATAAGCTATACTTCCTATTATTTATTATTATCCCACTTTTAAAATGAATAAACTGGGGCATAAGAGAGTATGTGTGTTGCCTACAGTCACAAAATTAATAAAAATAGGAATGCAAACCCAGATATTCTCTTAAACGTTCTACTCTTATCTAGTGAGCTATATTCTCTCTACTGGCAGCATGACAGAAATTTGCTCTAAATCAGCTTGATCTAAAAATTGAATAATTTATTGAATGGTTTTCTTAGATTTTTATTCCTCTCTCATAAATCATACTTTCTATTACCAAAGAAAATTCAAAGTGTTCAATCATTGCCATCTCAGCCCTCACAATAGAGAAAATCACCAGGTTTATGGAACTATTTGTACAAGGTGCATCTGGGAACACTGGAAATCAAATGAAGTGAAAGTTGAAGTATAATGTGTGTTTGAACCCTGTAATTTTGTGTCTTGTTTCTTTTTCAGTGTTTTGTTACATTTCACAGCATGTATTTTATTTGAACTCTTAATATTTGAGTATCAATGTTTTATGTGAAAGTGGTGTGGATTTTATCTGTTTATGTTTTTACAGTGATTACATTGGTGTCATCCTTGAAACTCTTTTTTAAAAATTATGTAATTAATACTCACATTCAAAACTAAAATTCATTGCTTTAAAAACAGCAATGGTTTTCATTATTAAGCTGTATCTGAAAGTTAACCACCACCCTTTTTTTGTTTGAATGTTTTTTGGATAAGCTTAAATAAGTAATCTAAATTGTTCCATTAAATAAATTGGTTCGAATAGAAAAGGAGGCTTTGTAGATAAAACTGTCACCTTGGAATTATTGGCTGAATTTAAATTTCACGTTAAACTGTGGTTGTGAAGATGATGCATCATATATAGATATTTCAAATAATCTTTACTACATGCATCATATTGAAATATTTATCTAGAAAATTAAATAACAAAAGTGTGCTTTCTGTTTAAATAAAACCATGTGTTTGTTGTAAATCAAGGAAATAAATATCTATTCAATAGAAAGTTTTGATGGTCCTGCTGTGGTAGGCTTCTGCTGCCAGCTGAGCCTCTCAGAAGGAAAAACCGTCTGATTGTAGAAAGTCTTTGAAATGTACTTGTCTCCCTCACACTTTAGTTCACCCACTGTGAGGTCTCCAAGCTGAAGTTATTATGGCTACAGAAGTCATCTAGGAAAGGTCTGAGTGATATTAAGTGAGCAAGGAACAATAGGAAATGGGGGAACCCAGCATAGAAGGCCTGTGTGTCACAGTGAGGTCTTGGGTGCTTGTGCGTGCGCTCTCGTGCTCTCTCTCTCTCTCTCTCTCTCTCTCTCTCTCTCTCTCTCTCTCTCAGAAATCATTTGGACAAGTGGCACCCATTTTCCAAGGTATGTAGCCCATGGTGTAGGGGCCAAGGACAGTGATAGGTGGATTGGCTGTGGTATCCTGACTTGGTTCCTGTGTAGGGTGGTGCAGCATTGCTTATAGATACAATGTCACCCGCCAGGTATGCTGGAGAAAGAGCAGAAGATGCACTCCATAAAAAACTGTCCCTGGTGTGTTCATTTTCAGGTATACCTGTCTAGATGATCTACAGGCTTTATATTGTATTTTTACCTAAACTAATCCCCAGAAAATTGACAAGAGGCTAAAATTCCCCTGCCAAAAAACTATGGATTGAAGATAATACTAACAATGCAAGCTAAAGCAAACAAGATATAAATGTCATCGCCAAATTTATCTTATGTTATAAACGGAGGCACATATGTGTGTGTGTATGTTTGTCAACTTCTTCCTTTTGAAGTTTCTTATTTTGTGTATATTTTAGAATGAACATACTATCAATACATTAACAGCATATATATCACTTATAAACAAATATACATACTAGTGCATATTTTAGTGTTCCTCTTGGTTGTTTTATTTAAGAAAGTATCTAAACTGAAGCCGTTGGGTAGCCTGAGCCAGGAAGCTAGGATTAAGCTGAGATGATAGACCTTTGACTATGCAGGGTGATGACTTGATATTTTATATCCTACCCTGTCCCCAAAACTTTAAACCAATCTTTATGTATTGCTGCTCCATGTCACTTCCTCTATGACCATTTGCATTGATCCAAGAGATGAAGATACTACAGAAAACAAACTGGGGCTCTGAGGTGGGGTACAAGCCAGAATCTAGTTCAGTACAGGATGTGTGAGGCATGAAGAACCATGAAGCCATATCAAAGCTAGTGGTTATTTTGGTCATAGTTGTCATGCTTGTCATTCTGGAAGGCTGAGGGTTAGGAGAGAAATTTGTATATAATGCTCCAGCTGAGTTTGTGAAAGTACATAAAAGAAGCACCTAATCCAGTCTTGAAAAGAACATATGCATAAATGGAGCCCTGGGTGGACAGTGGGTGAACAGGACATAGCCAAGCAAAGAGCTAAGATAGGAGGATTAAGCTGCCTACAAAGACCACCAAAGCCACCTATGCCTATATTTTTTTATTCCCAAGAATCATATGGATGAAAGTGCATGAATGAGAATCCTGAACACTAGAGAAGCCCTCTAGGTCTTCTTCCCTTAAAAATATTTGTGTCCTCTTTGACTCTCACCTTCCTTTCCTAACCCTCAGCTTTGAGACTAACGATGAAAAGTAAGATAAGGAAACAAAGAAATTAAGTAACTTGTGTAGAGTCTTATTACCAACAAGTGACACAGCCAGGAATCAAACCTAGACAGCCTGGCATCTTCATCACTATATGACACTCCTCCCAAGTACACATAATTCTCCTTCACTATTTATTGTTCAGCAAATATTTACCTAATACCTCCAAGTAACAGAGAGATACATATTACCCAAGTTGGGGATTGTAAGGCAACAAAAACTCAGATGTGTGGCAGGACAGCAGGAAAAAAGATTCACTAGAAATCTATCAACAAATATTGAATAATTTCTATAAAACTCTGAGTGTAGCATTGTATATCCTGGCACCAAAGATGTACTTAATGCTAAAGACTTATTTGGAAAATAAATCTATAAAAGTTTTAGTGGTTAAAAATAGAGTTTACTCCTGAAAACTGGAGAAGCTGGTAAATCCTAAAAATGTAAAGTATTTGCATATACATGTTAATTGAAAGGGGTAAGCATTGGGGGTATTGAAGGAAGAGAGGAAGAGAAGAAATTGAAAACCATTCTTATAGATTGATTTGAATTATCCAATAGATAATCTTATTCAAATATCAAGGTATCCTTGTGTTGGATGAAGATTAATTTATATGATAAGCAAGTAAATTATTTAGCACAGAGCATATATTATATGCTTTTCAAAACACACAGTAGTCATTTGGGTCTAACATATGTCTGGTTTTGTTTTCAGCTCCTTACAAAAATGATGGAGAGATTTCATAATTTCCCTTTGTCCATAAAAATCTTCTGAGCTTCTTCACTGTTTCTGACCTCTCTGTGTCATCTTAAAGATTGCATTGCCTCAGAAAGACTGATAGAGTTTACTGTTCTTTTTCCAAAAGTAGGTTCATTTTTCATGGAGATTGAGATTGATGGTTTTCATCTTGGCTTATGAAAAACTAGAGTATTTCATTGTCTTATTTTCCTCATGAGCAATCAGAATGCCAACCTAGCTCCAGTGCACAGAGGTGGTAGCATCAAGGAATTGAGTTAAATATTTCCTTGGTAACAGTTGTGGAGGCACCACTTTATTGATTATCGTCTACATACCCATTTAAACATATTGACAAAGAAAAAGTGATCTAGATTCTGTCACTGAAATCAATGTGTTTTCCACTATTGTTCTCCCGAGCTGAGACTGGCCTCTCTACACTGACCCTTCAAGGACAGGGACGGGTCTATTTATCTTTTTTCCTCCTATCACCTGAGATGGTCTTTCACCTAGTAGCCGGTAATAAGTGTTTATTGAGTGGGTGGATGAATGGATGGGCAGTGGGATGGTTTCTACTGAAGAGTCAGCCAACGTCTAATTAGTAAGAGAAGGAGAAAAAGAAAAGCAGATGATGGCTATTCTGTAGCATCCAGGCCTGATCTTGAATACAAACTGAAATTCGTATTTTCCAATATTTTGCATTATCCTGCATCAGGTCATATACACACAGCAGGCTTACAAATAATTAAAAATAGAAACACGAATGAATCTAGTCTACAAATTCTGGAAGCTTCTTTTCCCTAATAGTTAAGTACCTGGCTCTTCACTACTCCTTTTACTGTGATATGTTTTCAGTTTGATCTTAGAGAGCCCCAAGCCTTGCCTGAGACTCCCCTTGTTCCTCCTTCAGCTACTGTTTCTCCAGGAAGTAGTTGAGGAACCTCTGCCTCAAACATGGTTTCCTCAGCATTTGGACTCGTCCTAGGACCTGGCTCCTCTGCCTCCCCGGAAACTTCTAACTCATTCCTGACCTCTGGTAACCAGTAACCCTTATGTGAGTGACATAGAGCTTTTTTACAACCTGGTGACCTGAATCACCTCCTCCCTTATGACCCCAGCACTGCTTCTGAGCCTGGGACTTGGCATGACATTAGTCCATCAAATACTATTCTATTAGCCAATATGAATATGTATTCCTAGTCCTGAAAATAATTTTAGTATAACTGAGGACTATCTATATATATATATATATATTTTTTAGAGAAAATGCAGGGCCTTCATGAGTTTTGTATTCTCAACAGCACAGTGTCTAGCACATGGTAATGGCTAGATAAATTGTGACTGAAGGGAGCACTATCAATTTATCCCTGTGCCCTTGGAATATCCTGTTCCAATCATAACGTTGATTGTTTTGCTGGATGTAGCCTTATCTTTCCATTTTAACTCTTCAATATGTCTGAGCAGTTTTCAACCTTGGAACAATTTGCATAATTTTAAACATCTCTTAAGCATTTACTGCTTTTAAATTTCAATGTTAGGGACTGAGATTTTAATTATATTACTTTCTAAAGTCTTTGTACACTCTTCTAAAATAGTATGTGTTACCTGGCCCTCTGATTGTTTATTTACCTTGCTTTCTACCACTCTGAACTCCTTGAGGGCAAAAGTTGGAGCTTAATTAATCTTTGCTCATAGCAACAAATGCACCATGTGGTGCACAATGAATGCTCATTAAATTTTGTTCCCTGAATGAGCAAAATACTAACAAATGACAGCATAAAATAAGCATCATATTCAAGGCAGAATGGAAGAAGTGCTAAATAACATGTAGTCTGTAGCTAGGAAAAGAAAGGAAGTAACCATTACAGTGTTGGTTGTTTTCCTCTAACATGTTAATTCAGGAGCATTTCTTCAAATTTATCTGTTTACTTAAAGAAGCAATTTATCTATCTGGAGACCCATCTGGAAAAATTAATGCTGACTGCTTTTGAAGGCAAAAAACAAGGTAGGGAATTCATTTTCAACCCTGTGAGAATAAGCTGCAAGAACTGAAGACAACTAGTTCAAAGAACTGTTACTTTTTCTTTTTCTTGCCTTTACTAAGCATAAGCCCTTTATTTATATCTGTGCAGGAATACCTGTCCTCCAGACAAGAAGCCTGCCAATCTGGGGGCAATGTTAAAGTGCTCTTGGGTTGCTGAATATACATAACAACATGGTCTATATAGAGGCACTTCTAATCTGAGATTTCTTCCCATCAGAATGAGGTGATTTTGAAATTTCAGAAAATGTAATTATAATAGTTTTCAGTCCTAGCTAGTATTTTGTAACTTCATCTTTATTATCCTAAAATGAAATTCATAAGTAATATAACCTATTTACATACATCACTCATATGCCATCTAAAAAATGATCAGTAATTTATAATAAAATAATATGTGTAAAGGACTGGGCATGACTAATTAAAATATAACAAAATGCTAACACAGACACCTCCCATTTCTGAGACAACAGCTGAGACAACAGACTCCTGTACATGTGTGGTAGACATGGGAACCAAAGTGGATTTTCCTGGTAAAGTTCTGGATAACAGCAGCAGAATATGACCATTTCTTGATATATAGAGTAGTGGCTTTCCTAGAAAATTAGTTTATTATAAGACTTGAAAAATTACTATGTGTTTATAGATAAGAAAGTTAGTTTATGGGGTTGGGAAATTATAAAAATACTTTCCCTTCCATTAATGTCCAGTGTAATATTTGGGAACTATGTGATACAGCAGGATAATTGTTCATTATGAAGGTCTTTTCTGAGCATTGACGGACATCAGGCAACTCCAGTGCCTGTCCACACAATGCCAATTAATGTCTCCATAATCATTGGGAAACCCGTATGTCCCTCAC